TAAAGTTCAAATTGACTTTTAAGTATTATTACGAATCTTTTGTGTGGGAATATAGAAAAGTGTTGTTTTTAGACTTTTTCAGGCAATTTTTTAAATTTTTCTCTCCGTAAGAACCATCTTCGTACTTATATTATAAAAAAAGAATTAGCGAAATCGGTTCAGCAGCTTTCGATATTTGCGCTTAGCAACAAATTCAGCGATTCATTTTTATATTATATATATATATATATATATATATATATATATATATATATATATATATATATATATATATAGATCGATAGGTAGATAGATAGTATACAGTTATTTTAAAATAATATATTCCATATATCGAGAACCCTCTGACAGCCGAAGCAGATAAAAAGACAAAATATCTGGAACTGGCTCGTGAGGTGACCGACGTGTGCAGAGTTCTGCTGATCGAAATTATTCCTGTAGTCGTCTCTATAAATTGGTTAATCCCGACCAGCCTTTCGGGTTATCTAATACTCTAACTTTCCCTCTAACCTAACCAGCCAGAACAATAAGAAAATGTCGAAAAAAATTGTACAATTAATAATTCTTACAAATTATTTTCTACACTATTTTATTATACACCGGTTCCAATTGTGAATCTAAACCATTCTATAATCAACTTAATCATACACACAAAATGTAATCGAAATCTGTCCAACCGTTTAGGAGGAGTTCAGTCATATACAAACGGACTGAAGAATTATAAAATGTAATGTAATAAATAATTCCAGCCGCTCAATTTCACCATCGCACATCGCGACAAAACTTGCGATACCATCCATACCATCTGGATGACTGGCGGTCCACTACTGTGCGATTTAGAAGATTTTTTCTTCCTCGCACAACTTCCTTGTGGAATCGATTACCACCAACGATTTTTCCGGACCGATACGACTTAGGGACTTTCAAGAAAAGAGCTTACACCTTTCTAAAAGGCCGGCAACGCATCTGCAATTCCCCTGGTGTTGTGGTTGTTCATGGGCGGCGGTAGTCACTTACCATCAGGTTGTACTTTGTAAAGTTGCAAGCGATGTGCCGGCATGAAATACTTTCTCGCTCTGCTGAGCACGCCAAGCTTTTTAGAGGCCAATTTGGCCTTCCCTTCCAAGTGACCACGAAACTGCATGCTATTCGATATGTCGACGCCAAGGATTCCGATACTGGCTGAGGCAGCAAGGGGAGTGCCTTGAAACTGAGGAGATACGACAAAGGGGTTTTTTTTAGCGGTAAACGCGCAAACTTGTGTCTTCTGGGGATTGAACTGGACTAGATTTAGTCGGCCCCAATCCGAGACTTTGTTAAGCAAAGACTCGACTTCAGACACAAGTTTGTCCCTGTACTCAGCGACGTTTTCCCGAGAAATATTGGCACGGCCGGTATATAAGGCATCCCCAGTGCTGTCGTCTGCATAGCAATGAATGCTACCAGTTAGCAACATATCATTGATATGCAGGAGAAACAGCGTTGGTGATAGCACGCAGCCTTGTTGAACACCAGCGTTGATAGACTTGAAATCAGAGCATGCACCGTCTACTACGACCTTGATGCTCCGATGAGCAAGGAAACTGGTGATCCATATGCACAACTTCTCGGGAAGCCCATAGGAAGGAAGCTTCGAAAGAAGCGCCTTGTGCCAGACCCGAACGAAGGCCTTCGCTATGTCCAAACTAACGGCCAATGCCTCCCCCTTGGACTCTACTGCCTCCGCCCATCTATGAGTTAAGTAAACTAGAAGATCACCTGCTGATCGACCCCGACAAAAACCGTACTGATGGTCACTGATCAGCTGGTGATCCTCAAGGTACCTCATGAGCTGCCAGTTTATAATGGATTCCATTATTTTGGAGAACAAGGAGGTGATGGCGATAGGCCTGTAGTTGGACGGGTCTGAGCGGTCGCCTTTTTTAGGGATCGGGTGGACCAAAGCTGTCTTCCATGAATTCGGGACTTCGCCTTGGGAGTAGGAGTACCGGAAAAGACGCGTTAAAACCGGTGCCAACTCCGGAGCACACGTCTTCAGCACAATGGGAGGGACTCCATCGGGCCCACTCGACTTGCTGACGTCCAGGAAGAAGAGTGCTTTGCGAACCGAGCGCTGTGTAAATCGCACATCCGGCATGGAGCACTCACATCGCGGGATGGTCGGCGGTGTGTTCCCCCCGTCATCTAGAGTGGGGTTAGATGCAAAAAGAGAGCACAACAGATCGGCGTTCTCTTTTGTGGTATGGGCCAGTGAGTCGTCCTCTCTGTGCAGAGATGGAAGGGATGGCTGACAGAAGTTCCCTTGAACAGCCTTGGCGAGAGACCAGAATGCACGGGTTCCCGAAGGAAGGCGGACTAGCTTCTCGCCAATTCTGCCGATGTGCTCAGACCTTGCCTTGGCAATGACGCTTTTGAAGGACCTGGAGGCGGAATTATACTTCTTTTTAAGTGCGCTGGTGTTTAAATCCCGAGACGTTGATGCGTCAGCCCAGGCCCGGTAGCACTCCTGCTTATAGCGTGATGCTATTTTACAGGAGCGACCAAACCATGGCTGGGATCTGCCTCCGATGGGCACCACAGAGGATGGAATAAAAAGTTCCATACCCTGAAGTACCACATCAGCAACAGAATCGGCAACAACGCTGGGATCTTCCGGCGAGAAGCAAACCCGCCCCCAAGAGTAGGATGCAAAAAAAGACCGCATCCCGTCCCAATCAGCTAACCTATAGTGCCAAACTCGGCGGCAAGCTGCAGATCGCAATTGCGACTGGAGCGTGAGTGGCACCGTGCTCCTCATCAGACAATGGTCCGAAGAGCCCAGAGGGGTATCGACGGAGACCTGATATCCGTCCGGATGAGAGGTCAGCAGAAGGTCCAACAGGGAAGGTCTTCCACATCTGGGATCCGCGTAGGCGAAGTAACCAGTTGTGTTAGACCATATGCCAAAGCAAAGTCGTAGACAGATCTATTCGCATGATCGGTTAAACGAGAACCAAGCCATTCGGCGTGGTGGGCGTTGAAATCACCGAGTATCACGATCTCTGCGGATGAGACCTGTTATAGCACGGAGTCTGCAGCCATTTGGACGTGGTCGATGAGTCGGTCTGTGTCGGCATTACCGCTATGGGACCTATAGAGGCACCCGTAGACGCGGGGATGGTCGTCGCTGTCTACGCGCAGCCATAGGATGGACAGGTCCGTACCTTCAAGGCTGCCGAGGCATCGAAAACAGATGTCCTCTCTGACGTATACACAAACTCCAGCCCGGGGCACAAAGGAGTGTTCCAATTTGTATCCCGGGTAGGAGAGATATGAAGTATCAGCCGGAGAGGACACCTGAGTCTCGGTTAAAAAGAGCAAGGCCGGCTCCGCCGTCTTTAGATGGTAATGGACGGCGTTAAGGTTGGAATGAAGTCACCTGATGTTGCAAAAATTCACAGATAGCGTGACGGGGTCGCCTTGGTTGTATTGCTCCGGTTGCCCCGAGCAGCATTAGTCGTAAGCGGAATTTTGGCCCCCCCACCCCCACCCCCCACCCCCCCAAAATTCGCTGGGCAGCCTGAGCACCTAGGAGTGAAGTAGTTTGGTCGTGGATGCTCAGCGAGGGATTTTCCAGGGTGCTGGTACCCTCCTGGGGTAGTCTTTTATTTAATTCCACTACCATGTTGATGGGGGGGGGGGGGAATTGGGCCTCCGGCCACCTGCACTCACCAAGCGCAACGCAGAAGTAAACCTCTACTTCACGCTGGTATTCTGTGAGGTCGTGGTACCACCCCGGTTCGAGATGGCCCATCCGTGCGACAGCAAAAGCTACCGCTTGGCTCTACCACTGTTAAATAAAGTTTTTAACATGGAGAACATGCCTTGTTAAAAATATGTTAACCAAAAAAAAATTGGTATCTGAAGGAAGAAAATTTTATTACGAAAATAATCGTATAGGCTTGCCTGCAAAAAACCGTTCATGGAATATTATTGCCATGCTTTAAAGTTTTAAAATCGAAGCAATTAAATATGTGCGCGAGAGAAAGTAGAGCGTCTGAAGTCCGTGTGATAGAACTGGACATAACATAGCAGCTAATAAAACAAAAAAAATATTTATAACTATTCAAAACTGTACTACTCCTATCAAGTGTAGCAAAATCGAATGATAAAAGATCTAAGCGTAAAGACGGCGGGAAGCGATTTTGTTTTATATATTATGTAGAGATGTATCCAATCCATGTATAGAATTTGGAGGAAGTTATCCGAACAGAACATGACTTATTTTCCACCAACTTCAAAAATAAGGAGGTTCTAAATATTTTTTTTATGTATGTTCATTTCATGTTCACCAAAAACTACTCGAAGACGCCTGAACCAATTTGGTAATTATTTTTTTGCTACTTCACAGGTGGTTCCATTAAAATTTTTACGAAATAGGTCGAGTGGTTTTTAAAAAATTAACAATAAATTATTTATATTGAAGCCGGTTGTACAAAATTTGTAATTTTACCCCTTGTTCACTAGTGTTACTCCAAGAGCCAGTCTTTACAAACGTTTTATAAGAATACTCAATTTATTCATAAGTTTTCTCAAATAACTGTAATTTCTAATTTAAACTGGTCTAAATATTCATACCCCTGACTCTATAAATAGAAAGACAAACTCGGGCTATGTGGTGTAATTGGCAGTTGGTTTAAACGTAGAATGCCAAAATTAATTACAAAATCTAACAAAATAAGAATTAAAACAAAGCACTAAATATTCTTGGATCGGTAAGTGGCAAGGCGGACCATCAAATCGGTTTAATCGTTATAATTGCACCACGTTGTAATACAACACTGGCTTATAATAAATTATTGCAGCTTGTACTTGATTACTACATAAACCCTTACCTACAAACCTCTTTAAGTTATATAAACACTCCGTTGATGGTCAAGTGTGCGAGTCGTTCGGTAACCGACGATGCCCGTATTGACTTCTAATTGAGCACGTATACATCCTGTCAAAGGAAAGTGAAAACAATGAGGATCAATATAGTCGTAATGCTTGCAAAAGTATGAACTATATATTGGACTTGTAATACATTCATAATCACACATCACTTTGCTTCTCGACCAACCCAGTCGTACCTGTAACTTAAATATGGCTCTAATAGTAAGGCACATTTAAATTAAACTATATTTTGGTAATTATTACAATTATTACAATGTATTAATTTTGTTAACAGGTCATTTTCATCTCCACCATCATAGCAAGCTGCCAAGCTAGCGGAATAGGACATTACGTACCAGCAGTAAGATCTTTCCCAGTTGTAAGATATGCTCCGTTCTTTAATTTCCCGAACGCAGTGAGATCTATACATGCTGTAGCTCCACCACTACCAGCTTTTGCTCCAGCGCCACCAGCTCCAGCGCCATTGTTACCAGCTCCGTTATCAGCGCCCGTTTTACCTCCACCTGCATTACCAGCGCCGTACCTGCCAGCAACTGCATTCGCGCCTGCGCCAGCTCTACCAGCACCGTTGCCCGCGCCGGTATTACCAGCGCCCGCATTCGCAACAGCTTATGCACCAGCATTCCGTGCTGTTGCACCCGCAGCGCCGTTTGTTGCACCTGTGTTACCGAAAATAGCTCCAGCGTTACCAGTGCTTCCTTCTGCACCAGCAGTAGCCCCAACACGATTTTTCAACGCAGTCCCAGCCCAATCAACTGTGCCGTTTAATCCCATTGTAAGAGCTGTTGCACCAACATACAGCGTAACACCTTACGCAAATAACTTTTATCATTACGGAAAATACCTAAGTCCACAATTTTTACCCGCTCATCTCGAAAAGCAATTCGCGTGGAAATAATTTAATCCCCGCATCTTAGCGATATTGTTATCTAGTCTAATTCTTAGATATAAATAAATTTTGTTATGTTTTTTAATACTGTTAAGTTAAGGCTGTTTGTAAAAAATATATAAATAAATGTTTTGATTAATTTCTACATGAACTCTTTTATTTTTATATTATAGACAACTAAGGCTAAAAATAGGTGCCAGGATTATTCAATTTCTCATAAATTTCAAAGAAGGGTGAAAAAGCGTATTGTTGTACGATAATGCAGCTATTAGTAGTATAGTTGTAGCACAAATGGCGGCTCGGTTGGGGAAGGACCACGCTCTCACAGAATACCAGCGTAAAATAGCAGCATAACGCTGCTATGTTTCATATGGTGTAGAGAACCGGAGACACTTTTCGCTAGCAACGGGGCATTCCATCTTAGTTTTCACGATGAGCCACAGCAAACACTTACCATCAGGTGGACTGTGTGCTCGTTTGTAACTCTTATCCTTTTTCTAACTTCCGATGACTGTTGTAATCTTATAAGTTAGGCAGGATACTTTGCATTTTCATAACACTTAAAAAGTAACACAAAAAATATCTTTTTATATATTAAATTAAAAGTAAAGTAAAGTAACGACATATATACATCCCACAACTTATATAATTCCCGATACAGAGCTTATATAATTCCAGAGAGGGTTTTATGACAAGGAATAATCTGGTTTGTATTTTTTCATACATAGGTATTCTCACAATTTTACCTTTATCAGATTCAGATTGTAAAACCGACCGTGCCGATCTACATCACTTTTATAATATTTGGCAAAACCAGATTAGAATACTAATACCATATTCGTGAAAGCAGTATTCTTACACTAATCATATGCAATATAACATTTGTATACTGAGAAGTACCTTTAAACCACGTTACGTTAAGTTGGAATCCCTACAATTATTTAATTTTCTTAACTCAGTGTTCTCAATGCGAAGTCCCTTAAAGCTTATCTGATATATATATACACATATATATATATATATATATATATATATATATATATATATATATATATATATATATATATATATATATATATATATATATATATATATAATAGTAAAATGGGTAGAATTTTGTATGTATTTCATAATGCAATCAGTATTGTACTCCTAAGTTTCTCTGTACAATGCGACTAAGAAAAAAGCCTGGAAAATCTCATAGCAATGCCCGGAGCGAGTTTGGTGTCAAAGCTTATTTCGTCACTCTTTACATACACGGGTAAAAAGTATCCTGTGCAAAACTGCTTGGCTACTCGCGTGATTTGAAAATTCGTGTTCTTTGTGAACCATAGGGTCGTAAGCGTAACTACTGAGTACTGCATATATTTATCAAACAAAACTTGCTAATTTTTAGTTTTATGTTTAGACTATAATTATTTGTATAAGTAGGGGAGACCGGAGATGGTTGACTATAGGATAGGGGCAGGTTGACTTGCTGTCAAAAACTTGTCTTACTCAAAAGTTTTGCCTCATCCAACTGAGCGCGAGAAACCGTTTTCTACCCCCGCTCAGGTACCGGAAGAGCGGCTTCGTCTACGCACTTCGTTTGGGAGAAGGAGCTTAATATCCAAAAACAAAGCATGTAAGTAATTGTTTACCTCCTAATATATTTTGTAATAACGCCTATATACTCGTTGTTATTTACTTTCAAGTAATTTAAAGTAAAAGTTTGATTGATAATCTTTTTATTACGTATCATTACTTTTTATTTCGCCACAGTTTTGAGGCTATACCAAGTGGTTAAAAATTAAAAAGCGATCCGGGGCTAGTAGACTAATTTATTTTGGGGCTGGTTGACCAACTAGCCAACCTACTCCATGGTAGTCTGGGCATACTTTACATGGAATAAAGTCAGTTTTCTTTTTAATTTATCAAATGGATGTTGCAGAACCATGCGAACGTACAAAAAAAAGACTGATCGAGAAAGTACACCCAAAGATGTCTTCGATAGAGCATGTCAACAAGTTATATTTAATAAAAATAAGTGTTAATTCTACAGCAATAAAAAATGCTATACTGTTTAAAACACCCAACGCCACTTGGTAAAAATTAAGAAAATATCAGAAAGTAAACCGGCATTGACGAGATGTAAATTAACTTTGGACAGCGCCGGCTGCACTAAAAATGACAAATATTTAGTTATGAGGAAGAACTCGCATTAGAAAATTACCTCAAGAGGGCAGCTGATATTTATTACGAATTTACTCCTTATGAAACTCGAAAGCTTGTACTATTTATACAGACAGACTAACAAGAGTAAGAGAAAAGGAACAGGAAAAAAGATTTTCATGGAACAAATAAAAGGAATAGTGACGAAGAAGACAAAAGTGGTGAGGATGATACATTTTTTTTAGAGTGCACTGAATCTTACATTTTGAGTATTCCTGTAGAAACATGGATTCAGTGCAAGTGCAAGTTATGGGCATATGCACAACACTGTGCAAACGGTAATATTTTGTTCCATTAATGCAAAAATTGCACCTCTGATTTAGATGACCGATTAGATAAATTTAAAAATGATATATTTTAATCTATTTCGTTATAAATATATAATTATAGTTGAATTAGTTAAGACTGTTTTTTTTACTTTTGTATATTATTAAGTTAATAAAAGTTTTCTAGTTTCAGATACTAAAAGTATTATGATTTCAGTGTTTAGTTGACAAATTTTTAAATGTATGATTGTTTATTCTAATTTATAATAATTTCTAATGTTTGAATATATATATTGTCAGGATTAAAAATTTAATTGTAATAAAATTACAAAAACTTCTAATATTTTTTATTATATTATTCCTATAATGTGTGCTAATTATTTCATAGGTCAACTTACCCCTAGTGACAAGTCAACCAACCCCGGGCATGGGGTAGGTTGACTCATATTTCGTGTTCTACAAAATTAAGCTTGTGCACTATATGATAATTGGTTGCGAGCTTTTTGTTATTCTTTTCAGAAGCTTAATAGTTTACCTATCAGATGTATTGATTTTTACAATAATATACATCAAAATAATGAAAATACAAGCGTCTTCACTGAAATTTGGTCAACCATCCCTGGTCTCCCCTACTGCCCTATTTTCTACAGTATATTCATCACTCACTTTATTCGCTATATCAAGAAATTCTAACATGAAGAGTATTCTAAATGCAATTTACAAATTTTCGGGAAGCGATATATATTTACGTTTCAGTTTACATTTGTAATATCAATCAATCAATCAATCAATCTTTATTTGCCAACCAAGTGTACATTAATGGTCTTATAATAATAAAAATTTGTCTCAACTTAGTAGCCTTTTTCAGGCATTGCAAATTAGAGAAAGGTAGATAAAATAAGTTATTAAATATAAACATTATAGAGTAAAAACATTAAAGAGTGAATTAATAATATAGTAGGTAATTTAACAGTATTAAATTGTGCAAAATATTAAGGCATTTATGACATTTTATATCAACACAATATTTATTCTTCTACTAATATCTGATACTGTCCATAGTAATTTTTGTGTATCAAAACCGCTTTTTCCTTTTTTTGATGTATTTCTGTTGACTTAATGTTTATGTATATTAGTTCTGCTATTTGTGTAAAAGATATGCAATTTGTTATTCGTGTTTTGCTTCAATGTATGCTTTAACTGAGTAAAAACATTTTTCTGTTAAGAATGTTTTTAGTTTATTAATGAAAAGTGTAATCTTATTTTCAGTTTTTATGTGGATAGGTAATTTATTGTATATTTTTACAGCCATATAGTATGGACTCTGGTTTAGCATTTTAATTCTTGATGGTGGTAGGTATAGTCTGTCTCTGTGGCGTGTGTTTATATTGTGATTGTCTTTTACTTTTGGGAAGTGATTTATGTTCTTGAATACAAATATGCAAATGTCAAATATGTATAATGATGGTAGTGTGAGGATGTTATTTTTAATGAAATAGGGTTTGCAACTGTCAAGATTTTCAATTTGGCCGATGATTCTCATACATTTCTTTTGCAGTATAAATAGATCCTGAACGTGTACACTATTTACCCACAACATAATGCCGTATCTTAACCAGGAGTATGCATATGCGTAGTATGCTGACAGTGCGGTTTTTTCGTTTGTGCTGCATTTAAGTTGGAATAGAGCGTATGTGAATTGAGATAGTTTTTTTTTTAATATGTTCGATGTGTGGTTTCCAGTTGACGTGCGTGTCTATAGTTATACCAAGTAATTTGAATGTATTTACGGTTTCTAGTTGTGCGTTGTTGTATGTTGTGTCGATGTTTATGGGGGTGTTTTTGTATGTTCTATATATAGGTATTATAGGTATTATTAGTAGCTTATAAATAAAACATGAAATTTCCGTATGAAGTTTCGTTACAATATTATTTTATTAAAAGTAACGGCATACCACGTTTCTTTTAGTGATTTTTTTAGTAATTAAATTATTTCGCAGTTGAAATTCAAGCGAAGAGCTACATAAGTCCATTTTATGTACGGCAAAAATAATAGGTAGACGTTTTGTAAAATGGTATCTGCATTTACAATATTTTTTTCTTAAAGATTTGCCAATTCTGCTCTTTGCAACTCGATAATAAATTAAAAATAAAGCAAATAGATAAAAAGTAAGTAATGTTTTAATTAGAACATATAAAATTTTGCAATGAATTATCAAATATTATAAGAATTCGTAAAGAATGCCCTAATCACAAAGTGTGAAGAGCGCAAAATCGTTTTTTCGCTATCTTGTAAACCTCACTTTTTAGTTACGATGTTATTCGATTTGTGTGTCGATATAATACTCTTCCAAATTATTTGCATAGAGTCTCAGTAGCAGCAATTGGTATGCGGATTTTAATATCAGGTTCCGCGCACGTGTATTGTTTTCCCTAATGTCGGTCTAGATATTTTACTTCTGTTAACTGTTAAAATGCCTATGCTGTTATTTTACGATTTTACGAATTCTAATATATTTTCTCGACAATTCCTATCAACTTGTTTCTCAATAAGCTGGTGTGTATTTTATATTATGTCTTCTACTATACGGCAAGCACTGAACAAGTTGAATAAAAATCCAGATAAATCATTCTTTTATATTGCCAAAAATAGGAAATTAAAAAAAGTTCAAAAGTTCAATTCCATTGATCACAGCAAATAAATGTTGATTGTAAAACATGTAATCTAATATAAACAAATTAACGTTTGCTTGTTTGTATTATATGCGCTGCCATACAGTTCATCAGATAGCGTTAAAACTTTTTCAACTTATTGCTTGCATTTGCGCGAAGGTTATAGGCATAATACAATTAACTTGCAGTATTTATCGTATTGACAAATTTATTTTAAAGTTATTTTAAAGATTTTCCCACAATTATTTCTTCCGCAAAGCGCCGTGTATCAGTTAATCATGTTATGTAAAATTAGTGAAGTTTCCTTTTATTTTAAATTATAAATCGTCTCTAGTAAACATTGAATCCATTTTTGTTGATATTTCCTTTGTTTCTTAAAAATAATCAATAAAATTAGACTTTTGATAAAAAGTAAAGGCCAACTTCAAAGAACTGAAATGCTCCTTACTAGTGTTATTTACCCTCCTTTTTTCTGAAGTCGGCTAAAAATTACGGAATTAATTTTTCGAGGAAAATATTAAATGAAATAACTGTTAAAAGAATATAGAAGTTTTAATAATGCTTATAAAATGTATAAATAAATATACACTTATATTTAAAATTAAGTCTTTTTATAAGGAAGGTCAATTTTGTTCGCTTCAAGTCTATCGTAGAAACGCTGGAGTAAGGCCAAAGGCAGTACGGATAAGAGGATTAGAAGCGTAAGGGTACGGAGCAGCATAACTAGCAGGAGCTCCGTATGGCCCTACGGCAGGAAGAGCGTAAGGGGAAGCATAGGGTGCAGAGATTACAGAAGCGTACGGAGCGGGTGCTACTGGAGCAGCAGCCAAAGGTGCCGCAACAGGGCCTGCAAGAGGTGCCGCAACAGGTGCAGAGAGTGCGGCGGCAACTGGCGCTGCGATATATGGATTTACAGCTCTGTTGACAACGCTTATTTGTGACGCATACGGTGGGATATTCTGGGGTACAGCATGAGCGTATCCCACTTGAGCAGACGCCACCAATGGAGCAGCAATTGCTTGTGCACTTGATTCAGCTCCGACGATGAAAGCAACAGCGATGACGACGATCTGCCAAAACAAACATGATAATATAAAATTAATTTTATAATTATATTACTAATAAAATTATATAATTAAGACAGGGCCTTACAGATTTGAAAGAGAACATTTTGCTTGATTTGGGGGTAAACCTTCCTTAGTGAAACGAAGAGGTGATGTGTGACTGCCAAGGAAAGGTGTAGCCTTTTATACGGTGTGTATTGTGATTCAGATTACGTATGGTAAAATAAACGTTTGACGAATTGCGGGCGATCAATTTGGATTCTCCGATGCACGCACAAAGAAATGGATCACATTGGAAATTTTTTGTTGTGAAATTCGAATTTTATCTGATGTAGCTCCAAATGAAATCAAATATTTTTTTAAGATCTATAATCATATAATATATAAATTAAAGGTCATGTAAACGTGTTATTATTGAGTAGATTAAATATTTTGGAGCCAATTTATGTATAGATACTCTTTTAAATATTATTTTTTAAATTATTACAAATTAAATACAACAATAAACTTATCTTTTCTGTGATCAACATTATCACGATCATCTACAGATAATTGGTTATTTAATTGCCTCTTATATTATATTTTTTATTATATTATACTATAAGGAAAATTTGTCATAAATGACGCACCTTCATAGTATCAGGCCTCTCCCATCTACACACTCTCTATCAACACTAGTCTCCACTTTTTCCTTTTTTAGGCATGTCTTATTTTGATGTTTTTTGCATCACCCATAACACTCTTGCAATACTCTCGATATGCAGTTATTTCCTAAAGTTATTCCTAAATAATAAAAAATATTTTTTTATATTTTAATGCTTTAACAAAAACATTTCTTCATTTTTATAAATACAGGTGCAACCAAATGAAAATTTCTGTGGATTTTATAACACAATTTATTTTAAATATAACATTTTATATGGATATATTTATGTATCCTGTAAAACCTACACTTTGTAAAATAAGAAAACGATTGTTTTACGTGAAATAATCAATTGTGATTGATCCCGTGATTTTCAGATGTTTTTTTTTAATTTAATTTAATTTTATCATCATCATCATCATTATAACCTATCACAAGTCCTCTGCTTAATATAAGGTTGCATTAAGAAATTCTACAACACTCGGTCCTGCAACCATCAAATACCTGCATTACACACCATGGTCTTTGTTTTGTCCATGTGCAACTTAAGACCTATTCAGGTAATAGATTTCATTTCCCGAAGAAACATATAAATTAGTATATTAAGGTTTGCCTATACATAACATTGGTTCAGCCAAACAGAGAGACACAGATACCGAAATAACTTTAAAATATAATAAGGGAGGGCGGGAGGTGCTCTTCAAACTAGGTAAGACACATCATTTTATTTTATCTAGCGGATGTACGTAAAGTATTTTTTTGTCAAATTTAACTTTAAAAGTCTTCATTATTGCTAATTTTGGCACGTAACACTATTGTCTGTTGTCTATTTGAAAATCACGAGAGCGAAGCCACGGGCAAAAAGCTAGTATCTTTCTAAAATTTTTCTACAAATATTATTTTTAATTAACAATGACATAAAGATCCTATAATATTAAATATTTGTCTATTTTTCTGCATTTTAGAAATACATAATTATCAGAGTAGAGAATTTCTGTTAACCAAAATAACATAAATCTTCAATAATAATTAAAAGTTATCATGTTGAATAAGTAGTGTTAGTAAGCTGAAGTGGCAGTGGGCCGGCCATATAGCTCGAAGAACCCACAACCGATGGGGAAGAAAGATTCTTGAGTGGCAGCCTCGTACCGGTAGGCGAAGTGTAGGGCGACCTCCCAATAGATGGAGTGACGAACTGGTAAGACATGCAGGAAGTCGATGGTTGCAGGTGGCTCAGGACCGTGCTTTGTGGCATTCCTTGGGGGTGGCCTATGTTCAGCAGTGGACTTATGAAAGGCTGTAATGATGATGATGATGATGTTAAATAACCAATGCAATCAATAAATAATCATTATTATTATTATTAGATAGAGAACCGCAGTTTTTATTATTTTGGGTTGATATTACCAGAGAGATGCTGTTGGCCATCTCCTGTTTTAATTTCCCTCTATCGCCTCTTACGACATCCCAGGACGATATGGAGTATCCTCCCGAAGAATTATCCATAGGAGAAGCCTGCCTAGTAGGCTGTAATGGATGGATGGATGGATAGAGTTTTAGTTATTATAGTAAATTAATTTAGTTTCAATGCAAACATGTAATATATGTAATGCACGAACGTTATCTAAACAGTATCTTAATTTCCTTACTGATTTCTAAGGTAGGTAATTGTATATCGCATTTATAGCAAATAATTATTTAAACATAATAAGAATAGCTTAGCCTTCGATAAATCTTAAATAAATAATAATGACACATAATATGCTTCTAACCGGATGATCCCTTAACCAAAAAGGTGTTTATTTATCAAATCTTAAAAAACATTTCTTATAGATGTTCAGCGGCACTGAATACCATTTCAGCGTTCCAGTTATTTTAATTCAAAATTCAATTAATCATAGTTAATACAAAACGATTTTCTTCTGGAAGGATTTGTGATCGATGTAGGTGATAAATTGATAATTAATTCGTGACGTCAAACACCTCAGATCGACCGCCGCCGTGGGTTCAGTGAAACTTCGAAACGACATACATACAATTAAGTTGGTAAAAATTAGTTTTGTTCAATGTATGATATTCGCTTATGTCATAATGTAATAAATATTTCACAAGACAGGTTATAAGTATTGTAGTCATTTTTAAAAGTGGTCTGGCACACTGTAACTGTTTTATGGCTGGGAAGAATGCTGCTCTAAAAGACTCTGAGAATAGCAACATAGCGTTTCATATGGTTCGCGAAGAAAACTAAACAAGGTAGTTAATTTTAGTCCTCAGCGGTGAACACGCAAACGTTTCTTTGTAAATCAAACTGAATGTATGTTTCTATATTCCATTTAACGTCACTGTGTACTTGTATACTGTACACTTCTTACGAGCTGGATATCTGGTTGCATATCTTGTACGTGATGCGCCAGGTAATGCCTAATTATTTTTATATTTGTTATGAAAACCTCTTTCCATATGCAGATGGAAATATATACAATAATAATTGATCGTTAAATGTCTATAGTATCGATAAATTGGCAACATTCTTGCATACACATCTTGGTTAATGACGCATTATAATAGCGTAAACTATGTAGACAATTAAAATATTTGGATAAAAATAACTATCCGATAAAGATAAAAGAAACTCGAAGAAGCCAATCTCTGCGTAAAATCTAAATTTTTTTTTGCTTCATTAGCAGATATTAGAAACATTAGTCACATTTCCATAGAAATAGTATGAAAATATAGTGTAACGATGTCAAAAATCCGTTTATTTATGTTTTTAATTATTTAAAATCTCATTTGACGAAGAATAGAAAATCGACCAAGTTTCAAGACATGGCTAAAAGAAATAAATTTAAGTTATACGAATTGTTATTAATCCATGGTGGTTTCAACTACCCAATAGGTACTTCAACTAGATTTCTCTCTACGACCCTGACCTGGATCTATTAAAAAAGATCACATAGTTTTAACTCACTTTGCTTTATTGCCAGTATGTGTGAGGAAGAGTTTTTTCGTTTTGGTGCTTATATAACATAAGGTGAAATTATTGTACGTTGACTTTAAATTAGAATGCATCACTCGTAGACGCAGTCTGGGTCAAAAATCGTGAAGCGAACAGCAGTGTCCTGTGCATTAACGTTCAGTATATTCTATGTTCGTGCTGTTGCCCAACGAAATCACGACTTGGTATATAATGTCACGGTATCCTGAAGTCGACACAGTCCATTCGATTCTTTAATCTATTCACTTGTGAGCAGTCACAACACTCAAGCACAATGATTGCCAAATTCGTTGTAAGTAAATTTATTTCTTTAAATTATAATAATAATATTTGCTTCGTGAGTTACTTACATAGATTAGAAATAAAAAAAACACTTCTTAAAAAAAGTAAAAAAAGTTGTAATGCAAAATTTTACGTCAACTACCAATAATTGGAATATTTAATAAAATAAATATCACTAATGATAATTTTTATACAAAACCAGGTTGTCCTCGCCCTCGCCGTAGCCGTAAATGCTGGTGTGCTGCCGCTCGCCGCCGCGCCAGCCGCAGTGGTCGCGCCGGCAGCATACGCGGTCGCACCTTACGCCAGTTCTTACTCCGCACATGCTGTGAACCACGCTGTCGCCGCTCCAGTTGTCGCCCCAGCGCAAGTTTACCAAGGGGCACCTTACGTAGCCGCACCATACGTCGCCGCCCCATCGCCTTACGCCAGATACGTCTCCGCTCCATACTTCTTCTAAACGAATTTGGTGACGCCATTGCCTAGTGACTTGCTCAAAAATGAAGTTTTAGAAATAAATACGTTATAACACGCTTACTCGTTTTGTTATACTCATTTTTATCACGATATCTCTGGAGCTGTAAGGCCTAAAGACTTGAAATTTGGTAGAAATATTCCTTTCGCCGATTTATGATTTTATGAAATTCCACCCGCAAGGGGGGTTGCGGGGGCGTTAATTTAAAACGAAACACATTTTCAAACTATAGCTCTTATAGGTATAAAACTTGGCCAGAATATTCTTTTTGGCATGTTAAAAATTACCAAGAACGGATTTTATTAAACTCCACCCACAAAGAGTTGTGCGGGGGCGTTAAAAAAATAAACTTTTAATCTATAGCAGTTTTTAAATTTGACGATTTCGTCATCTTGAGTTTCAACTGAGAACGAATTTTACGAAATTACATTCACAATGGGGATTGCGGCATTATAATGAAGGTAAAAAAAATATATATATTTTCTATATATAATAATAGCGGCCAAGTGCGAGTCGGACTCGCCCATGACGGATTCCGTAGCAGCAAGTAACATAATATAAAAGTTCCTGCAGTTCGTTGTAACTTTGATGTTTTCTTTGATTCGATGATTATGTAACTTTGATTCGATGTTTTAATAATAGTGTATTTTTTTTTATTTTTATATTTGAGTTGATTGAATGAAAGGTAAATTGCGGTTTACAACTTATGACGTATTAAAAAAAAACTACTTTCTAGATCTCGTTGAAACCAATTTTCAGTTGAAGTTTACATGGTTAGTGTACATCATATATTTTTTTAGTTTTATCATTCTCTTATTTTAGAAGTTACAGGGGGGGGGGGGACATATTATACCATTTTGGTAGTGTCTCTCGCGCAGTTGTTGAGTTTCAGTTACTAGTTAGTTAGTTAATAAAGTTTCAGAAAATCTTAATACGGTTCACTGAATACATCTACATACCAAGTTTCAATAGCATAGTTCTTATAGTGTCGGAAAAATTGGCTGTGACATACGGACTGACAAACAGACAGACATGACGAATCTGTAAGGGTTCCGTTTTCTTGGCATTTGGCTACGGAACCCTAAAAATCAATTGGACAGCAAAAACTCTTCTAATTCTAATAATTCTTTTATGTGTATTTGAGTGGGTCCCTGGATGATCTAAATGATTCACAATTGGACCCGGTAGGTGTCGCTGTCGTTAGTATATATATATTAAAAATGCAACTTTATTAATCCAAAAGTTTTAGTGATCTTTTACATAATCCGCCCCCTACGCTAGGCGTAAGTCAACCTTTAGTAATAATTATTATAAAAAGTCCTATTCCAGGTTATAATCGACTTCTATGCAACATTACATTAGAAATCATCCAGCCGCTCAAGCGTGATTAAAAGACAAACAAACTTTGACTTTTAAATTTTAAGTAAGACTAGCGGACCGCCATGGCTTCGCCTGGTTAAAATTTATTAATGTGAAGTTTTTTTGGATAAATAGCCGAAATCACTGTTGGTGTTGCTCTCTATCTGTTGGCGAAGTGCCATTACAATCGATTCACCATTCCGAAACTTCGACCGACCGGACAGGCAGTCAGAGAGAATTTTAAAAATTATTATTCATATTTTAGTGACATGCAAATTACCCTCTCAGTACAAAATAAGGCAATAATGTTAATATTACAGACAGGCACTTCAATTTTATTTATATTTATAAATGTATAGATTTATAACGCAATCATTTAAACACATCACACATGCTTCACATGCATCGCTGATGTTAATACCCCAGGACGTCGATGTATAAACACCAGCGATCTTTAAAGAAATATAATCCCGCCTCCAGGTCCAAAAGAGTAATTGCCAAGACAAAGTCGGAGCAGAATCGCCAAGAAACTAGTTCGCCTTTCTTCGGGAACCTGTGCATTCTGGTTCCCCGCCAAGGTTGTCCGAGCGAACTTCTGTCTTCCATCTTTGCACAGAAAGGACGACTCACTGGCCCTTACCGCACAGGAGAAAGCCTCTATTTCTGCGTCTAACTCTACTCTGGATGACGGGGAGTACACACCGCCGACTATCCCGCGGTGTAAATACTCCATGCCGGATGTGCGGTTTACACAGCGCTCAGTGCGTAAAGCACTCCTCTCCCTGGACGTCAATAAGTCGAGTGGGTCTGAGTCGGTCTAGAGTCCCTCCCATTGTGCTGAAGACGTGTGCTCCCGAGTTAGCACCAGTTCTAAAGCGTCTTTTCTGGTACTCCTACTCTCTAAGCGTAGTCCCTAACTCATGAAAAACAGCTTTAGTTCACCAGATCCCTAAAAAAGGCGACCGCTCAGACCCATACAACTTAAGGCCTTTTGCCATCACCTCCTTGTTCTCCAAAATAATAAATTCATTATAAACTGCTCTCTGCTCATGAGGTACCTTGAAGATCACCAGTGGTAGGCCCTGTCCGTTAGTTTGGTCATAACCAAGGCCTTCGACCGGGTTTTGCACAAAACGCTTCAAAGTTTTCTTCCTATTTGCATTCCGAGAAATTGTGCAATTGGATCACTAGTTTTCTTGCAGATCAGTGCATCAAGATTATAGTGGGCAGTGCATGTTCCGATTACATGTCTATTAATGCTGGTATTTCTCAAGGCAGCGTGCTATCACCTACACTGTTTCCTCTGCGCATCAATAATATGTATGTTATTCATTGCTATGCGGACGACAGCACTGGTGATACTTTTTAAACTGGCCGTGCCAATATTTCTCGAGAACACGCCGTCGAGTAGCGGAACAAACGTGTCGTGATTGCAGTCTTTGTTAAATAAAGTCTTGGATAGAGAACGCATAAATCTAGTCCAATTTAACTGTCAGACATAGGTTTTTGCGTTTATCGCTAAAAAGAAAGGGACTTAGGGACCTCCAAGAAACGAGCTTACTCCTTTTTTAAATGCACACAAAAACGTTGTTCATGAGCGCCGTTCAACACTTACCATCAGGTGATCCGCATGCTCGTTTGCCCCCTCTTCTATAAAAAAACACAATTTAATAGATTTTTTATATTTATTACGACATAATTTAAAACGACCTTTGCAAATTATAAGTTAGTGCTAGCTAGATAATAATCCCACCTCATAGTGAGTAGTAAATGATGAAGCACTAGATGGTAAATTGCACTATCTTAGCCTTATTTAGAATGAGACAAAGAGACAAACGCCGGCAAAATATTGCACTCCTTCCTGTACGCATTACGAAAGACGAAGACGTTTGGTTCTAATGCAAGTCATTTGATAGCAAAGGGGTGAAGGCCCGCCGACTGCCTGGTTGTCCATGGTGGAAAAGTGAGAGGGGAATTAAGGCGTGTGATTGAGTACCGAGAGGCGCAGAGAAGCCAGCTTCTCGGAATCCCGGAATCTTGACAGCCTCGAGCCTGTGCTCGTTTCAACCAAATCACCAATAAGCCTCTTAGCAAGTTTCTCCACTCAGTTCAACACTACTAGGTAGCATTTTACAGCACCAGTTATATGTGGCAGCAGTACTCCAAGAACGACCGGAAATGCGCTTTGAATAGGGTAAGCAACTGCTCCGGCTAAAATTACTGTCGCAACCTTGCAATAACCTTGTTTTCTTGCGGCTTCTTTGGCCCTGCACTTGTTGAATTATTCAAAGAAACCTCCACCCCTAACCTCTGAAAGGGGTCGGTTTCCTTCAAAGATACATCCCGAAAAGTAGGAGCCAGGGTGAGGGGGTTCCTTAACGGTGGGCTTAAGTTTTACATTTTTGTTGCTCACAAATATTTTGCCAAGATACATAGATTAATCAATTTAACACAGAACCCATTGTACTGTGTTAAATTGGCACCGATTGTACTGAATAAATATTTATACTCTCTAAACATGAATACTCGTAAGTCGAAAGACATTAAGGTATCGAATAGACTTTTTTTTATAGGATAGGGTGACAAACGAGCACACAGTCCACCTGATGGTAAGTGGTTGCTATGGCCCATATACATCTACATCTATCCTCGTTTGCGAAACAAAATACAGATGCGTTGTCACCAGTGAGGACTAAGATGGAATGCCTCGTTTCCAGGAAAAAAGGGTCTCCGGTTCTCTACACTCACCATACGAAACACAGCAGCGTTATGCTGCTATTTTACGCTCGTATTCTGTGAGAGCGTGGTCCTTCCCCGGTCGAACCAACCCATTCGTGCTACAACTATACTACTAATATAGCGACAGCATGGCTCTACCACGTATAAAAAGTATAACTAAGTATAACCGATACGACTTAGGGACCTTCAAGAAAAGAGCCTACTCCTTTTTAAAAGGCCGGCAACGCATCTGCAATTCCCCTGGTGTTGCGGTTGTTCATTGGCGGCGGTAGTCACTTACCATCAGGTGAGCCGCATGCTCGTTTGCCCACTCTCTTATATAAAAAAAAAACTATGTTTAAACCTTAGATGGTGGTAAGACTTCTTTTTTCTAGGAGTCCTTCTGGGTAGTTATAGATTGCCTCATAGGAGGATTTACCATAATAGTCACGCTTGGCACGTGGTTTGACAACCCGCTTGCCAAGCGTTGCAGCTCAGGTTTTGTAGTTACCACACGCTTACCTATTTGTGCCGCCAAATAGCAGTGCTTGTGAGACCCATTATAATCATAGGCTATGAGGAGATGGAATACCATCTAAGTTCTGATAGGTGACAAGCCATCTGTTGCCTTCCTTTTTTGAACTCATATCATTATAATTTGGTATTGTTTAATGCGCCGATACCACAGATTCATTTGAAATATGTACTGGATTTACCTGTAGCTATACTATAATTTAATTCAGCAAGAAAAACGAGGTATGGAACAGACGAAGACTTACAAATAAACATTAATATCTTATAATGAAAATACCTTTCCAGAAATCGCTAATATTTATATACTTTTGTAAAAAATCTGACTCACTGAGCCTTTGTAGTTTTCAATATTGTAGAGATACCATGATAAGTTA